ACACAGTGAATCAAACCGTATTATTTACTGCATGACACCGTTTCGAACAGAATTTATTGCTGTCTGTCTGTTTTCGACATAGAACTTTGCACAAATGTGCGGAAGTTCAAGTCGCCACACTCCGTGTAGCACGCGAAGCAAGAGAAGAAAGTACAAGAAAAGCATAATAGAAACAGTGAGCAGAGGTGTGAGACAAAGGAGGAGTAATAACGAAGAACAAAACAGTTTCATTGGAGACCATAAGTCACAAGGAATGGATGCATCTGCGTCAGTCATTGAAAACGATTTTGAGCCATGTCACCAATTGTTTCCAACCATAGATTTTTACCGTCCCGAGGACCCCAGCCTGGAAGTCTACACCTTCCTACGTGGCTTAGACCAACTGTTGTGGATTTCATTGACTGGTATCAAGGTTTTGCTTGACCGCCGCTAGCTTTTTTCCAGGCTGACCCTATATCCGCTAACATTGCTCGTCGATGGCTTGGCATACGTAACACATGTCCTAACCATCTCAGTCTTTGTAGCTTCACGACTTCGTCGATTGATTTCCCCTGTTTACCTAGAACTCTACGCCTAACCTCAATGTTGCTCACCTTATTATGCCACCTTACACGGGAAATAGAGCGCAGGCACCTATGATCAAAGACAGCTAGTCTTTTCATGTCTTCCACTCTCAGTGGCCAGGTTTCACAACTGCTGCTCATAATCGTATCAATTGTAATCAAACAACTTCGAAACTTGAGTTTTATATTTTTCTTTATTCTTGCCTATTCATCGTCGTAGGGGTAGTAGAATTTTCCAGATATCTGGGTGGACGGGTGTTGAATCATTCCTATTACATGTATTCCTTCTCAGTTGATTCGATAAACAAAGGTTCCACTGTCATCAATCTCTCTCCCTACACCCTGTGACATTAGATTTTAAACCTTTCATCCTATCTCACCCATCCTATTGTATGGTCGCTTACAGTGCTGTAATAGCTGAGCTATTCTTTAGATTTCTTATCTTATTAAGGTCAACTAATCTAGATTTTTGTTCTCCGCTAGTCTGACTGACCCAGTTCTACTATTTTGACGTATGTATTTGACCTGACAATCATTCCAGCAGGCAGGGTATTAGATAAACTAAATTGTTTTGTTTTATTGGCTTCGATGGCAGGATCCTTTAACCGACAAAGCTAGTTTCTAATTGAGTTTTTGGAAAACTGAATGCCAGCCACTTTTATTCCTGCATAAGGTTTCCGAGGTCCCTTCCTTGTATGGAATTACTACTGATGATTTAGATTCCTTATGGTTGGTGTTGTCGTGCGCATATTTGACATGCATGTCGACATTATTGTTATTATCACTACTATCATTATTTATTTTATTTTCACATTTCCCTGCATACTTCCTGTCTAATTTTTCAGGGTAATTATTTAGCTTCAAAGCTTCTCCTATTATGCCTCACTTCCTGTCTCAGACTTTCATCGGTAATACTTAGTTTTTGTGCTCTATCATTAAAACATTTCACCAGTCCTATTCTTACTGACATAGGATGGGATAACCGGAAATTCAAATATCTGTTTGAATGTGTGGGTTTCCTGTAAACACTAGTGTTTAACTTCCCAGCCTCTTTCATTTTTATGCTACAATCTAACATTGGAAGCTCCCCTGCTTCCTGACTTTCCAATTCATAAGTGAACTGAATTGCCTCCACCTTTGAGTTAATGTGTTCGAAAAATCTATCTATATCCTGTGTTCTAAGTACAGTGAATGTGTCATCTACATACCTCAACCATACTTCTACAATGGGGCTGATCGTTTCAATCGCTATGTTTTCCCACCTATCCATGAATATATCTGCTACAACTGGGGATATTGGTGATCCCATGGCAACTCCCTCCGTTTGTTTGTGTATTTTCCCTCGGAATTTAAATACTGTAGAAGTCAGGCAAAGCTGCACTCCCAGCAATATGTCCTCAATTGGCATTTTTTGTCCTAATTGCAAGATCTTGATCAGATATGAGTTCGTTTCTGACTGCCTCTATAGCCACATTTATCAGTTTACGTGTATATAAACGGACAATGTCAAAACTAACCATTTTCTCTTCATTATCTAATTTTAAATTATCTAATCTGTCTTTTAGTTCATAAGAATTAGTTAGTCTAGATTTCGAGTGGATTTTTAGGGGATTTAATACCACGGGTAAATATTCAGATAATTCATAAGTAGGTGAATTTCTAAAATCAACTATAGGCCTAATAGGGTATCCATTTTCATAGAAGATAGCAGTAAAATAAAAGTAGTGAGTCTCAACAAATACAGTTGGTAAAGTTATTCAATGCATAAAAAGGAATTGAATAAGTGTATTAGAGTTACGTAATAAGATGAGTAATTTAACAATTGAGTCGGCAAGTTTCGAGAATTACCCACTAGCATCAACTATTGATAATTCTCAATTCTATGCTAAATATGTGGATGACATGTTTATTATCTGTGATGATAACCGTTGATATTATTACTGTTTCCTATAGTTCCTAGAGGAACATAGTGCTTCAGCTGCACATTTCCATTGCCTTCGGTTCTCCTTCATCGTTTTCATCTGGCTCCACATCTGCCCATATGCTAACATCACCTCCTCCACTCCATGTCACCCTCATACAGACGACTAACTGGCAACTTCCCATTCATGTTCCACTCGATCAATGGCCTGGCGTGTGATGTCACTCACTTGATGGTTTGTTTTCTCAGAGTATGGCCAATCCACCTCTATTTCTTCCTGCATATTTGTTGCAAAATTGGTTTCTGCTGGATTGGTTCTCTCCCAGAAATCCCTCACTATTGCTGATCTTTTCTGGTCAGCCATCTGATCTTGAGCGAAGACGGCTGTTGATGAAGGTCTGTAGTTTGTTTGAGATGCCCTTCGTGACGCGCTGGCCAAGTCTCTAATCCATAACGTAGCACTGATTTCACATTAGAGTTGAAAATTCGGATCTTGTTTTTCATGCTGAGTGCTGTTGACCTCTACGCTCACTAGAGAATAATGAAAGCTTGTCTTGCTTTCCCGAGCCTCGCCTTGATATCCTCATCAGTTCTGTCCGCCTGTAGTTGAAACGATGCTTCCCAGGTAGATAGGTAGGTAAAGGAGGTATCTTTTTTCAGATTTTTCCCATTTATAATAATTATTATTTTAATCAATTTTTACAGGTGTTCAAAAACTTACACCCAGTAGTAACAAAGTTCACTTTTGAGATGAGAAATGAATCTGATCTTCCTTTTCTTGATATTAAACCTACAAAATGGACCGACAGAACTGTAAGAAGGTCTATCCATAGGGAACCCACATGGAATGGTCGACTGACAAGTTTCTACTGCTGACTACCAATTAGATGTAGACGATACCTAATAATATCTCTTGCTTGCACCTGACACATCTGCAGACCTGATACTCTGAAGGAGAAATTACACTTATTGAAAAGAAATCAAGCAAGATTCATTGACATGTACGTCAAGTCGAAAATCCAAAGCTAAGAGACACCGTCCATGGCTTAAAAAAATTTAAATGAACCTCAACACTAAAGGTGATCTATTACTCAGTGTTGTTCTTAGGAGGAAGATTTAAGCTTTTTAAAAAGAAGTCCCTTCAAAGCAATGCTGACAGTCGTGTTCTCCAGTCGCCCACCTGTTTTTCAAACGCCCAATGGATAATATCCCACATATCTGACCACTTCAGCGTGCACATATCAGTTCACATGTTCCTGTGGAGTCAGGTATATTGGTCGTTCGACTCGTATGCTGTCTAGGGGGAACAGGATGAAATCAAGATGTGCGGTTTGGAGCGATATACTCCACTCACAAACCAAGGGAATATTAACAATAACAATAAAAATATTAAATTACAAGTTCGCAGAACAAGCATCAAAGATAGGAACGACTTCAGGCGAGCATAGGGAAAACAGAGGTGATGAAGATTCCTAGCCAACAGAAACAGCCGCAGTAACAACAACAGACAACAATCAGTCAGCATAAATGGGAGGAACCTGAAAGAAACAACCTCCTTTACTTACCCACCTACCTGGGAAGCATCGTTTCAACTACAGGCGGGTGGAACTGACGAGGATATCAAAACAGAGAGGATTGGAAAAGCAAGAAAAGCTTTCAATACTATCAATTCTGTGTGGAGGTCAACAGCACTCAGCATGAACATGAAAATAAGATCCGGATTTCCAACTCGATTGTGAAGTCAGTGGTACTCGCTATACGGATCAGAGACATGGCGCGTCATAAAGAGCATCTCAAACAAACTTCAGACCTTCATTAACAGTTGTCTTCACTCAATACTACTCAAGATCAGATGGCCGGACAGAAAAGATCAGCAACAGGGAGGGATCTCTGGCAGTGAGCGAACCAACTGAGCAGGAACTGATTGTGCAACAAGCAGGAAGAAATGGAGATGGACTGGAGGCCATACTCTGAAAAAACTATCAAATGACACCACTAGACAAGCCCTCGAGTGGAACGAGGCCGAAGGGGAAGCGGTGAGTTGGTCGTCAGTGCGAGGGTGACTTGGAGGAGGTCATGTGAAGAGGAGATGAAAGCGTGCGGGTAGACTTGGAGTGGGGTGAAAACGTTGGCAGAAAACCGGACGCAATGGAGGCGCCTGGCTGAAGCCCTATGTTCCTCTAGGAATTAAAGGAAATAATAACAATATGCTATTTTCCTATCCATCCCCTCCAAAATCTGCATAAAAGAATTATTCGACAATTACTTGAAATATTTATAACATAATGCAAACCATGAGTATGATAGTAATGAATAATAATAATAATATTAGTTAAAACAAATTTCCATTTAATTGAACATTGAAAGTATTTAATTCATTTAAACAAAAAAGGCCATATCACTAAGAGGGGCATATAAAAGCTACAGGAGCAAAAAGAGAGAGGGAAAGAAAACTTTGTTAGGCCGCCAGTCTTTTTTTCTCCGTCTACATCTCCCGCCCATCTTGTGTGTTTATATCATCGTCTACATGCATCATCGCAGGCTTCTGAAAGAACAGGTGCAAAACTTGGTACGTCTTGAGGTTTGATTTTTAAAACATCAATAATTTTCTTATAATCTGGATGATTTACAACTTGTTTTTGTTCAAAATGATAAAGAACTTCGCCACCTGATGATAAGTGAAGGCGAAAAAGAAAAGAAGAAATCTTGATAAGAAGATTAAATACAAAAAGTTTAGAAAAACAAAACGGAATATACAATTGGTGGATGGTGGCTAGCAGTGGAATCCAGGATGCGCATTTCGTCCTATTTGGGACTCGTCAGCTGGATGTACCTGCATTTCTCAGTGAGTGATGATGTTCCCACCGAGGCTCGAACCCAGTGCCCATAGTTTCAAACGCCAAAGCGTTATCCACTAGACCACTTGGGTTACGAGAGCCACCTCTTGTGCAACGGGTCATATTAATTATTGAATTGAATTAATATGACCCGTTGCACAAGAGGTGGCTCTCGTAACCCAAGTGGTCTAGTGGATAACGCTTTGGCGTTTGAAACTATGGGCACTGGGTTCGAGCCTCGGTGGGAACATCATCACTCACTGAGAAATGCAGGTACATCCAGCTGACGAGTCCCAAATAGGACGAAATGTGCATCCTGGATTCCACTGCTAGCCACCATCCACCAATTGTATACTAACTGAATGCCCGGACATCGTCGAAGCATCTGCACAAGAAGCCGACATGTCAACCTGAGACCGAGCACTTTGGTCCAATCAATCGACGGGAAAATCAAAAATTCAATTCAATAAAACGGAATATAATTTTTATCAAAAAAGAAATTTTAAATAGTTAGTTTGTAAGGATTAGATTTGTTGCTACGAGTTGATCACAGATTGATGTCAGTTAGAGAATCATTGAAAACCAGCCACAGGGACTACTGCGAGACAGATGTTTCATCCTAATTTGGGAATCATCGGCATTACGCACCCACCACAGGGGAGTTCGAACCCAGGACCTTCCGGTTACAAGGCAAGCTGGTTGGCTCGTATATTATCCAGCCACTGGGACCTGATTCAATCGCCAGCCCAATTCTAACTCCTACCAATTCGTGATTTAGTGCGATCACCAACCAATGTCATCGGTTGGAAATCCATCTTCACACTTAACTGGATGGACTTCACTGGCCACGACATCTCACTAGAACCCTAGGAAACTCTATGCTGTAGGAAGCACCAGATTAATTTTCAATAGTTGGTTCATAAGAATTAGATTTGCTTTTACGAATTGATCACGGATCGATATCAGCTAGAGATCTACTGAGTACTGCCAGTGATTCCCAAAGTAGTGGGATGAAATAGTTGTCGAGTACACCCTGGTAACTTTCAATGGTTCTCTAACTGATATCAGTCCACGTAATATACACATTGGATCATAGGAATTATTAAAAAGACGTTTGCAGCGAAGAAAATTTTCTTTTCGACGAAATTACCAACTAAGCTGTACATTCGTGTATTTATAATAAACGGGTAGGAAAGTTCCAGAATAATTTCTGGTCAAGGGTCAAATTAATAAAATTACAATTAGGAATTAAAATGCCATGATAAACAGGGGGATGGACGGATAAAACTCAAACAAAGTGGAATCATTATTACTGAGAAGATTGACAAATTGTGCAATTGGGGATTAGAGATGTAGAAATAACAAAAATAGACAGGATGTTTGGATAGACAAATCTAGTAGGATCATAACTAATGTGACGAATAATTGTTTATGCAATTAGGGATTAAATATGTAGAAATAATAGAATGACAAAATACACAGGAAGTTCGGCCATACCATGCGCCAACTTGAAAAAACGCCCTCGTGAGCACTATCCAACCTGGCTAGTAAAAGGAGATCTTAAACATGTATATATTGCAATGACAGAACGTCCGGTCAATTCAGCGTCATTCCAAAAATCCTTCACAATACAAATATACAAGATCCGATCAAACCTATCAAAGGGAGTGAAATTAAGACATCTGGGCATAGCCGAGGCACTAGCTATCCAAAAGCTCAAACCCACGCTATGTATCCAGAAGAAATACGCCCAACCCTTGTCCCTGCCGTGGCCAACATAAACTGGTAATTATTCCTCTATTAGTGACTATTCCATTGCCTTTCTTATCCAAACTTCCTTAATTTCTCCACTATTTACATTATCACATTTTCATATCCAAACTTCCTGTGTATTTTGTCATTCTATTATTTCTACATGTTTAATCCCTAATTGCATAAACAATTTTTCATCATATTAGTTATGATCCCACTAGATTTGTCTATCCAAACATCCTGTCTATTTTTGTTATTTCTACATTTCTAACCCCTAATTGCACAATCAATGTCAATCTTCTCAGTAATAATGATTCCACTTTGTTTGAGTTTTATCCGTCCATCCCCCTGTTTATCATGGCATTTTAATTCCTAATTGTAATTTTATTAATTTGACCTTTGACCAGAAATTATTCTGGAACTTACCCACCTATTTATTATAAAAATACACGAATGTACCTAGTTGATATCAATCCGTGAGCAACTCGTAGAAAAAAAAAGAAAGAAAATTCACTTGTACCTGGATTTCACAAACGAGTTAACTTGTGATATGTTTGCGAGAAAACTATCAAAATCTTTGAGAAAAAAACATTCTTCGCAGCAACGTTAGTAGTAGTGTCCTCCAGTGTTATACACTGGTCTCTAAAAGCTTGAAAGATAAGATTTTGTAAACATCTACTTCTGTGTACATACATCAGTTCACCCTGTTCCTATGACACGTAGCCTGTCAAGAAAAGGTTAAAGAATGACACTATCCCACATGATTGAAGAAAGGTAGTGGTGGTTCTATAAAGAGTGAGATTAGTGAACATCTTGTCAACACTGATGATTTCATCTTAACAAAAACACCTCTTTCGAAGTAATCTACAAAGAGAAGAATAGTCTGTAAAGGCAATTTGCTTTCATCTCTTTTGCATTGCTGAAGATGTATACATTCAGACAGATAGATCGAAATTCTGTAAACGTGTTAATTTCCACTCCCTTGATCTTTGTTTTTCTAACTCTTTGTAATTCTTGTATCTGTTTCGAACGCTTATACAATATCACATTTTCCTTCGATTTTATGTGTGCATCCTGATTACAACTCAATCATTGAATTATTCATCATATAAGCTGTAATACACTCTAATGCATTTATTCAATTCCTCTTGTGCACCTACTAATATTAACAAGTCTACTTGTTCCCATTGAGTTATTTCAAAGAAAAGGCGTTCAGTGAAGAGTTACTCTCTTTTCAGCGGTATCATTCTCATCTTGATTGGACACTAGTAATTAGTGTGATGTGTCTAGTCCTTACTTACTTTGGTACAGAATGAATTCTGTTATCAGTCAGGTTTGCAATGTGGCCACCATTTTAAGTAGCTCGCCATCCTGACGAATGCCAACTACCACGAAGTCTAGGTCCAAGGCTTCCTGACGATTGCTTCCAACTATCTAATATCAACAAATATTATTCTCAACCTGTACAATCCTATATATATATATATATATATATATATATATGTAGTTAATTTTCTTAGTAAAAAATGAATATTTCAGAGATTTGTCTCGAAAATTGTAAATTTTAGATAACAAATTACGTAATAAAGAAAAAGTTAATTGGTTAGAGAGTAAAATGAAATTTAGGCATTGGTTTGTAGGGATTTGATTGATTGGTTACAGCATTTCATCATGAACTGACATCAATTTAGTCCTAGTGTAGGACTCTTCTTAAAATGCACCCACTTACAGGGTTCGAACCCAGGACCTTCTGGTTACAAAGCGAGAGATCTCGTAGACCATTAATCCACTGGGACCCGATCCAATGGCCAACCTATGAATTCTTACTTCTTCCAACTCATGACATAGCGCGACTGTGTCACTAGCCGATGTCATCTCTGACGGGTATTTGTCCTCACACTTGATCTGCTGTACTGGTAGGTAGTTACTTGGGGTTCTGGTTGGAAGTCGTGGCCAGCAGGGTGCAGCAGGTCAAGTGTGAGGACAAATACCCGCCAGAGATGACATCGGCTGGTGACAATTGCGCTATGCTGTCAATTGGCAGAAGTTAGAATTCATGGGTTGGCCATTGGATCAGGTCGCAGTGGATTAATGGTCTACGAGCTCGCTCACCTTGTAACCAGAAGGTCCTGGGTTTGAACCCTGTAAGTGGGTACATTGTGAGAAGAGTGCTACACTAGGACTTAAACAGCAGTAAAGTGCTCTTTGGTGTTTTTCTGATGCTTCTCTAACTGATGTCAGCTCACGATGAAATCCTGTAATCAATAAAATGAAATTATTAGAATTGTAAATTTTATATAATGAATTTCGTCGATTGGTTACATACTAAAGTAAGATTAAGTAAACAAGTCCGGTGACGTAATCTAACTGACGCGGTTAAGTAGAGCTCAGCTAAAATTGAGATTGAACACAAGTCAAGTTAACAACAGTGGTGGTAACAGGTAGAGATTTCACAAGGCGTGGGAGGAAGGAAATATTATACAATACACAAACAAACAAGAAAGAAGACAAAATAAAAATTACGTATTTTGGTGTTAAGATAGATCAGGTCCAATGTGGATTTAATGACTGAACAAACTTATTTCGTATGAAGAATTCAGGATTTAACATGGGAATAACCATTGCTTCTGAGGTTTGAAGAAGTTTGATTCGTATGCTTTCAGCGAAATCCCCACATATTCTGTAGATAAATAAAGTATAATTATATTTGAATAGTTTACACACAATGATAAGTTTTGTTATTGGTAATATTTCGAGCAAAATTACTGCCCGTGTTCACACCACTGTTGGAATTGTTTTATTCACACATTTATGATTTGTATTCACATATATAGTTCATTATTATTATTTTGTTCATTCATGTTTTGTGTGTGCATATGTGTGTTCAGAATTATACTCACATTCATTCATGTGTTTGTATTTAGAATTATATCCCAAGTTCATTCATGTTTTGTGTGTGCATATGTGTGTTCAGAATTATACTCCAGATTCATTCATGTGTTTGTATTTAGAATTATATCCCAAGTTCATTCATGTTTTGTGTGTGCATATGTGTGTTCAGAATTATACTCTACATTCATTCATGTGTTTGTATTTAGAATTATATTCCAAGTTGTTGATAGTTGTACTGAGTCACCCTTGTTACATGTATCCGGTGTGACTTTAATGAATATCGATTCTGTTATGAGTCTTTCTTTCCATTTGTTCATGTTTGTTTTTAGAATACATACATTGTCCCAATCGATATTGTGGTTTTTGTCCCATGCATGTGCAGCTATGGATGAATTTTTTTCAAGATTTTTGTAGGCTTGTGTCCCTGTTGGTTGACCTTTAGTTAGGCGTTTATGTTCATTCACTCTTATTTTGAGTGATCTGGACGTTTGCCCCACATATTTAGTTGGACAGTCAGCACAAGATATTTTATAAATCAAATTGTTTTTATCCATCATTTTTATGGGATCTTTTAGTTGATTTATTTTATTTTTGATTAGATTTGTCGGTTTAAAGGTTGTTCTAATACCGATATTTTTGAGGTTTCTTTGTATTGCCTCTGATGTACCATTTTTATATGGTATTACGACTGTTTTTCTCCATTCTTCCATCTTATTATTCTCCAGTTTTACCCTATTTTTTCTCTTTTTTATATTATCCTTTATAAATTCTTTAGGGTAGTTGTTTTCGAGTAACATTGTGAATAGAACTTTTATTTCTTTACGCTGGTCCTCTGGTGCTGTTGTAAGTCTACGTATTCTATCTGCAAGACCCTGTATTAATCCTCGTTTTACCGAGAGTGGATGAGCTGAGTAATAGTCAAGGAATCTTCCAGAATGTGTGGCTTTTCTATATATCGTTGTTTTTATGCTACCATCTGTCATTCTTTGTAGCTTGCAATCTAACATGGGTAGTTCTCCAATTTCATTCTCTAATTCCATAGTAAATTTTATTGAGTCGACGTGTTTGTTTATGTGTGATAAAAGTTTCTCAGCATCGTTTTTTTTCACTATTACTAGCGTGTCGTCTACATATCTCCACCAACATTTTAGTGATGATCTGAATGGTTTAAGGGCATTCTCCTCCCAATAATCCATGAAAATGTCAGCTATAATTGGTGAGATAGGCGATCCCATGGCTACTCCCTCATTTTGTTGGTATATTTTTCCTTCGAATGTGAAATATGTTGTTGTCAGACAGAATTCTATCCCTTTTATTATTTCTTCTACGGATAACTGTGTTCTGTCTTTCAGGCCATTATCTTCATTTAGTTTCTCTTTCAGTGCAATCATGGCCATTTGAATGGGTATTTTCGTGTAAAGACTGTTTACATCAAAGCTAACTAGTATTTCTTCCTCCTCTATTTTAGTGGTTTTTATTCGCCTCACTAATTCAAATGAATCTACTATTCTAGCTTTTGAGTTGTTTCTTGTCGGTCTTAGTATTGTCGAGAGAAATCTGGATAGCATATACGTTGGTGTGTTTCTGAAGTCTACAATCGGTCTTATTGGATATCCCTCTTTATGCAGTTTTATCTTACCATATATCCTAGGTACATTACAGGATTTTGGCATAATTTCAAACCATTTTGACTTACCGATTACTTCTTTCATTTGTCTAACTACCTTTGCTGTTTCTTTCATTGTTTTGTTGATGATCGTTTCAGCTGATTTAGTCATTATGGTATAGGGTCCAGATTGTAGATGTTCATTCATCTTTTGATTATATGTTGTTTTGTTAAGTAATACTGTTGTGTTTCCTTTGTCTGCTTGAGTAATGACAATGGATTTGTCTGCTTTTATGTCTTGAAGTGCTTTTAGTTCCTCTTTCGTTATATTTGGTTTTTCTGCTTTTTGCTTTTTCAATGTAAGTGCACATTGTGCTCGTACCAGTTCAGCTTTTTGCTTGTCATATCCTTCGAGTGCTGTTTCAATTGCAGGTATGATGTCTTCAGGTTTTAATCTTTTGTTGCTGATATTGAAGTTCATCCCTTTCATCAATACACTTTCCTCTGCTTCTGTTAACTTTCTGTCTGACAAGTTTACAATCCAATTGGCTTTAGTTACTTGTCTGTCATTCGGAGTTTTCGCTATCATGAGTTTATTAAATTTTTTGATTTGTTTCTGCTTTGTTTTTTCATAAGTAGTTTCTTTTCGTTTTTGTGCAACTTGTAGTATGCTTTCATACTTTTCTTTTTCGATTACTTCTTTCAATTTTTCTTTTATTTCATTAATATCTTTCCTTATCGTGAATAGCTTTTGTATAATTCCACGTAGGTTTTCTTTGATGCATACTTTTGAGGCATGTGTGAGCGCTATATTACCAATAACAAAACTTATCATTGTGTGTAAACTATTCAAATATAATTATACTTTATTTAATCTAATCCACAATGCTCAAACTTTTTACTGATATTAATTCAACTGACGGTCTTCCCATTAAAAGACTGGCCAACAAACTCACACATTTATATCAAGCTGAATCTCGATTTATGAACCATCGAATTTTCAACATCAGATGCCTTAAAAATGGAATTATTCCTGTATACATGAAATTAAAATCACCAATATCTACTGATAAAGCAAATGCAGCGCTCACACATGCCTCAAAAGTATGCATCAAAGAAAACCTACGTGGAATTATACAAAAGCTATTCACGATAAGGAAAGATATTAATGAAATAAAAGAAAAATTGAAAGAAGTAATCGAAAAAGAAAAGTATGAAAGCATACTACAAGTTGCACAAAAACGAAAAGAAACTACTTATGAAAAAACAAAGCAGAAACAAATCAAAAAATTTAATAAACTCATGATAGCGAAAACTCCGAATGACAGACAAGTAACTAAAGCCAATTGGATTGTAAACTTGTCAGACAGAAAGTTAACAGAAGCAGAGGAAAGTGTATTGATGAAAGGGATGAACTTCAATATCAGCAACAAAAGATTAAAACCTGAAGACATCATACCTGCAATTGAAACAGCACTCGAAGGATATGACAAGCAAAAAGCTGAACTGGTACGAGCACAATGTGCACTTACATTGAAAAAGCAAAAAGCAGAAAAACCAAATATAACGAAAGAGGAACTAAAAGCACTTCAAGACATAAAAGCAGACAAATCCATTGTCATTACTCAAGCAGACAAAGGAAACACAACAGTATTACTTAACAAAACAACATATAATCAAAAGATGAATGAACATCTACAATCTGGACCCTATACCATAATGACTAAATCAGCTGAAACGATCATCAACAAAACAATGAAAGAAACAGCAAAGGTAGTTAGACAAATGAAAGAAGTAATCGGTAAGTCAAAATGGTTTGAAATTATGCCAAAATCCTGTAATGTACCTAGGATATATGGTAAGATAAAATTGCATAAAGAGGGATATCCAATAAGACCGATTGTAGACTTCAGAAACACACCAACGTATATGCTATCCAGATTTCTCTCGACAATACTAAGACCGACAAGAAACAACTCAAAAGCTAGAATAGTAGATTCATTTGAATTAGTGAGGCGAATAAAAACCACTAAAATAGAGGAGGAAGAAATACTAGTTAGCTTTGATGTAAACAGTCTTTACACGAAAATACCCATTCAAATGGCCATGATTGCACTGAAAGAGAAACTAAATGAAGATAATGGCCTGAAAGACAGAACACAGTTATCCGTAGAAGAAATAATAAAAGGGATAGAATTCTGTCTGACAACAACATATTTCACATTCGAAGGAAAAATATACCAACAAAATGAGGGAGTAGCCATGGGATCGCCTATCTCACCAATTATAGCTGACATTTTCATGGATTATTGGGAGGAGAATGCCCTTAAACCATTCAGATCATCACTAAAATGTTGGTGGAGATATGTAGACGACACGCTAGTAATAGTGAAAAAAAACGATGCTGAGAAACTTTTATCACACATAAACAAACACGTCGACTCAATAAAATTTACTATGGAATTAGAGAATGAAATTGGAGAACTACCCATGTTAGATTGCAAGCTACAAAGAATGACAGATGGTAGCATAAAAACAACGATATATAGAAAAGCCACACATTCTGGAAGATTCCTTGACTATTACTCAGCTCATCCACTCTCGGTAAAACGAGGATTAATACAGGGTCTTGCAGATAGAATACGTAGACTTACAACAGCACCAGAGGACCAGCGTAAAGAAATAAAAGTTCTATTCACAATGTTACTCGAAAACAACTACCCTAAAGAATTTATAAAGGATAATATAAAAAAGAGAAAAAATAGGGTAAAACTGGAGAATAATAAGATGGAAGAATGGAGAAAAACAGTCGTAATACCATATAAAAATGGTACATCAGAGGCAATACAAAGAAACCTCAAAAATATCGGTATTCGAACAACCTTTAAACCGACAAATCTAATCAAAAATAAAATAAATCAACTAAAAGATCCCATAAAAATGATGGATAAAAACAATTTGATTTATAAAATATCTTGTGCTGACTGTCCAACTAAATATGTGGGGCAAACGTCCAGATCACTCAAAATAAGAGTGAATGAACATAAACGCCTAACTAAAGGTCAACCAACAGGGACACAAGCCTACAAAAATCTTGAAAAAAATTCATCCATAGCTGCACATGCATGGGACAAAAACCACAATATCGATTGGGACAATGTATGTATTCTAAAAACAAACATGAACAAATGGAAAGAAAGACTCATAACAGAATCGATATTCATTAAAGTCACACCGGATACATGTAACAAGGGTGACTCAGTACAACTATCAACAACTTGGAATATAATTCTAAATACAAACACATGAATGAATGTAGAGTATAATTCTGAACACACATATGCACACACAAAACATGAATGAACTTGGGATATAATTCTAAATACAAACACATGAATGAATCTGGAGTATAATTCTGAACACACATATGCACACACAAAACATGAATGAACTTGGGATATAATTCTAAATACAAACACATGAATGAATGTGAAGTATAATTCTGAACACACATATGCACACACAAAACATGAATGAACAAAATAATAATAATGAACTATATATGTGAATACAAATCATAAATGTGTGAATAAAACAATTCCAACAGTGGTGTGAACACGGGCAGTAATTTTGCTCGAAATATTACCAATAACAAAACTTATCATTGTGTGTAAACTATTCAAATATAATTATACTTTATTTAATCTAATCCACAATGCTCAAACTTTTTACTGATATTAATTCTGTAGATAACTTTGAAGCTCATTTTCGGTTGAGTTAGTTTGGTGTCCAGATTCGACCAGGTGTTCCAGGATAGAGCTGCTGTGACGAGGGATCTTTTTTCTCATTTGTAAAACCATAATTGTGGGTAAGTGTTCAATGATATGTTTGGATGGTAAACATTGGGTAGGGTCAACATATGTAGCTCCACACGAACAGGTGAATTGGTAGATGTACATTGATGAGGCCAACAGTGATAGCTTATCCTTCACTTCGACGCGAATCACTGATTTCGTAGAGAAGGTTATTTTAGTTTCTACCCAATTAATGCTTTCTATGTTGCGTAATGTGGTAGCTAAATTTTACAATTCTAATGACAAGTCCATGAAATAAACATTTTGTTGCTAAAACAATTTTATTACATATGTGAGATTGTGCAGCTTGTGAATGACATCACCGATAAGAGTAACTATGTTTGTGACAACTCATCACTTTTGCCACTACCACCTTTCATGAAAAAAGCAGTTGTATATAAATGCGATTGTACAGATGAAGAGGAAAATGAATTCAACACGAGAAGAGACTCTTTGCTGAACACTGTCCCCGTCTGTTTTCCATCTAGAACTTTGCACCGATGTGCAACAGTTCCAGTCGCCACACTCCCTCCAAGTAGCACACAAAGCAACAGGAGAGAGTAAAAGGAAATGCAAAATAGACACAGTAGACAGGGATATGAGACAAAAGGAATAGTATTTAACGAAGAACAATATAGCTTTATTGGGTATTATAAGCCACAAGGAGTGGATACATCTCTGCACCAGCTATTGACAACGATTTTGAACCTTATCACTAATTGTCTACAGCTTTCATTGGCTTTTACCGTCCCGAGGACCCCAACCAGTCAGGAAGCCAGTTTACACCTCTCTACGTGGCTGGCTGAAACTAATTGTTGTAGATTTCATTGACTGTTGAGGTCATGATTTGGTTTGACTACTACTGGCTAACTCTTTTCCAACTTGATCCATCCATCCTATGTCAACTAACATTGCGTGTTGTCGAGGAAGGCGATCTCAATCGATCCAGCTGCTTCACAACCTCGTCGATTGATTTCCCCTCGCAATTACCTAGCACTCGACCGAAGCCTCGCGCCTCAGTATTGCTCACCCTATTATACCACTTCCCACGGTATAGATAGAATGCAGCCACCTATGATCAAAGACGGATAGGCAGACTTCTCATGTCTTCCACTATCAATGGCCAGGTCTCACAACTACAAAGAAGGAGGACGGATCGGACTGATGAGCAGTACACACGTCCTTTGGTTGATAGCCAGCCGGATATCACGTCTACTAGGTCACATACGGTGTAAACTGGCATATGCGACATGAGCCTTCTATATCCGTGGTGAAATCTCGTCAGCGATTAACCCGTTGTGACTGGCAGATGCAATTTCCCAGATAAGTGAAGCGGTCGCTGAACACTACGGTTTTATTCATGAGTTGAGGTTATTCATCAAAAACTCTTTAATATCAGATATATAAATATGCAAAAACATGAAAATGCCATGAATCCACACTAAGCCATAATTATGCTACCCTCTTATTTTCTTTTT